TTATGAAATAAAGTAAATACATATTCCCATAATCTTAAACCAGTAAATTGTTTTGGAATAAACTAAAACATATTAGTGACAGTCAACTTTATACGTAAAACATTCATAGATTCACATCGCAGAATATGCAATGGGCGAAAACATCGTGCATTGAAGCTTTAAACTGTGCGGTGATTTGGAAACGGATAATGACTTGTTTTGCTAAACTTTTCTCGCTTATTTAATTGATTATACAATCTGTTTAAGCATAAGATATTAACGAGCTAAATAATATTTATCTTGCATTTGTTAGTAAACTTATGTCTGTAACTAAGACATTTTTTCAATTCTAAAATATAAATGTACAATTTCAATAACTGAATCATGGATTGCAATAAAGTGTTAGCTACAATGAGATTATTGAAAATGTTACGTAGTATTTTCGATATAAGAGGGTTATATCGAATACTGCATAAGGATTAAAAAGGGAAAATCAATTATTTGGAAAACTGCACTTTTTACAACCTTAGTTCAGTATGTAGCCTACGTGAACTCATCTCCACTAAAATCTCTTATTTGTATGTCTAAAATAAAATGCATTGATTCTCCGTTGATATTAAGCTAAAATTATGCATTGCGTTTTGGTTATTTTCTATTTTAGCTTTATTATAACATTTATTTAATACTTCCATAATCAAATTATCTGTTAATCTGTAGAAGATATAAGAGCTTTTTAACCTTTTTCGATCATAATTTTTAATTGTTTGAACAAATAACAACTACATAACAATGTGAAAAAGACGTTAACTTAATTTTACACTTGTGGCGAGAAGGTGACTTTTCGTAACGACTTAGTATAAATCCGCCAGAAGCAAGCGTACAAGCGTCGCCCGGCTGGACGGCCTCTCCTTCATGCATATTCAGAACAGCTGATTACATGCATATGCATTGTCCTTTAAACACCATCGCTTGGCATTCCGTGCGTCAGCTGCCGCGCTTTTGGCACACTTTGCATCAGAGCGAGAAATATCACTGGGATTAAAGTGTTGTTTAGGGACGTCGAATAAAAAATTACTGAAACTATTTGATTTGACTTTTCTCAACACTAAAGAATACAGTAAGGAATTATTAATATTGCACACACAATAGTCTAGGCGGGAAACGGTATATATTTGACCGGGTGGAAGTAAAAGTTTATGGGCCAGACAGAACCATTTGAATTGTTATTCGCCTTTTAGTGCGATCTTGATCAGCCGGTGGATATTAGGTTGTTTATTGCTCTTACTGAAATTAAACCGATAAACAGGTTTATCACTTGTTTACATCTTTGACGAAACTCGTTTGATAATTATCTTGTTTACTAAAATGTTAACCTGTTACAGTTCTATAGTAGGTGATCAAAGTGTAGGTGTTATAAAATGCTGTTCATCTTAATCACTTAAAATTATCATGTTTTCTGAACATGCTAGCAAACACTTGTTAAAGTCTGATTATTTGATTTTGATATTCGAGAATCTTTTACAGTAATTATATCAATCAATTCCATCTTGTAAAATCAATATTTTCAAAATGTATCAATCTTTTCAATTATCCCTCAAAATACGCGTGCACCACACAGGGCCACGACAAGTTGATTGGCTATATAATAAGCCTACGATATCATAAGACTACAAGATCGCGCCACTCATCCTAACCTCATCTTCATAGTGGCGTCCCCATCTTCAACAATTGATTGATTGGTAATTGATAACCTTAGTATATTCTAAATTCTGCTGCTGTTACATAACTAATATACTCAAATGCTGCCTTAAAACCCCACTTAAATAAAACACTTAAAATCCTTCCTCTCCATCTAAACCTTACTTTAAAGTCCTTTCAATGTTTATATTTAACACCTCACACCTCACATGCAAACGCTTTATTTTTTAATGCAGTAGAACCTCGATAACAAGACTCTTGGCGATTACTAAATAAGACTTGTTATCAAAGTAGAATTCTTATCGAGAGTTGCGATTACATTTGATTAGAGGTAAAATAAATGTTAGCGAATGTAGAAGATGACACAACTTATCAAGTGTGACTTCCTATCAAGGTTCCACTGTGAAGCATTATTTGATCAGAATGGTACATTTGATCGTACATAGTGTTATTTCCCCAGCTCGGCCAACCCAGATGCGTGTAACGCCTCTTTCACACGAAGCGGCGCGCGCCGTGCGGCGTCCGCCGTGCGGCGCTGCGCCGGACAAGCGTGTGTCTTCACACTAGTATGGTTTCGTGCGGCGCGCGCCGTACGGCCCTCCTAAATATTTATTATTTTCCGTTCAGTTGTGGCTTTTAAATGAATACTCCACTTAAAAGTTCAAATAAAATTAATACTGTAGGCTAATTTAAAATATAAAAACTAGTGCACCTGTTGCTCGAATTGGAGCAATTGCAAAATATTAAAGTAGTTTTTTTTACGAATAATTGTCACAATTTCCGTCGACTTAAAAGAGTCAACTCATAGATAATGTAACCAATCACTCCACTCCAGTTATCGAAACTGGAAACGAACTCACTCTGAAAACGAACGCTCACTCCACTCCATCTATCGAAACTGAAAACGAAAACTCTCTGTGTATCATGTGTGTACTATGAACAGTTGTAATTAATACTAATTATTCGTCTGTTTAACCATAGATAAAAAATACTCCCCCTAAAATAATAGAAACAAAATTTCGTCGACACTAGCGCCCAGTGTGGCGTACATGAACTAGACATGAAAAACGAGCTTCAAAATTAACAATGGGATGAGAAGTCTACTTGTGTTGGTTAGTCTATGGTTTAACTAAACAAAATCTTGTCTTCATAAGATATACATTGGGATTTTCATGGCCGGAGGGCAAAGCCCGAGGACTTTTACTACAGGAATTTGTGAAAGGGTACACAACAAATACTTAATTTTGACACATGGTTTGTAAAAATCCGTCCATTATTAACAGAGGAGTAGTATTTTATAGAAATCGCCTTCACGTATTATATATAAGTATTCGTCATATCTGAAAATATTGTATTCTAGAAGTTAAAAAAATGTTACATTACGTATAAATTACTAAATTATTAACTTAATACTAAATATTCTCCTCTAGTTATTAAAGAAAAAAAAAATGTTTTAATACTTTAAGTTGACCGATTTGCATGGGATGAACATAAAAATATATGTTTTGTAATAGCTTTAAATATATTATTTTCCGATACAACGATATATAATTTCTTAATTAACTGTTGCACCCTCTTGGTCAGGTTGTTTGCCTAAATTGAATCAGCGTAGGGGTTGGGCCGTGCGGCGCGCGCCGCACCGTGTGAAAGCTCCCATAAGAACCAATGCACCTTCACCAAGTGGTCCGGCGTGGACGCCGCGCGGCGCTGTCGTCCGGCTCAAGGTGCATCCGGCGGTAACTCGCGCGCCGTGCGGCGAATTCGCCGCGCGGCGCGCGCCGGACGTAGTGTGGAGGGACTCATATACTCCCATAGCCCTACGCCGGATCCGGCGGGCGCCGCACGGCGCGCGCCGCGTCGTGTGAAAGAGGCTTAATGCATCGTTTCTATGCCACTGTTTATTCCTTCATAAATCCTACACTTTCCTCGGCTCAACGTATCTCCATTGTAGAAAAGATGGAACTAAACCTGTTATCCGGGTTTGTTAATTAGTTCTCGCTGGAAAGTGATTAATTAATTCCATCACCTTCGTTTTCAATGTTGACGGCTCTGCCGCCTCTCTGCCTTTTAGAATTTAGCGCCGAGCAATTTGTAGCTTTGCGTTCTCATTAAGTTTTGTTTAAACTTTGTTTTCTCGATTCTGTTGGATATAATTATTTGTAGGGTTTAACTAATGGATAATGTGATTTGGAACATGGTATAAGTCGAAATGTTTGATGGTTCAAAAACAACAATCTATTATCAGTGGTTGTTGCATTTAATATTTGTTATAGTATTTTTTATATTGTGGAATAAATACTCGTATATGTATCATTGACCTTGTTAAAATGTCCATCATTTGATTTATTCAGCTCCGTGGCAGTTAAAATTTAACAGCGTTTAAAATATGAAAACTAGTAAAATGTGAACTTTGATATACTAAACCAAGCAAATAAAGGAATTTGTTAACAACAATATGTCAGACACGTTTCTGATGGTTAACAACTTGTTCTTTTTATTTTAAAAAATCCTGATAAGATTAAAATCATTTAAATGAATCGCGTAAGAACAAGATAAAGGCCAGCATTAATTAGTCAAAAGCCATTTCAAAATCCTATTAAAGGCTGGACACTTTTCCAACGACGGCACCTAATGTTGTTTTTTTCGCGAATCCTGATCTAATAAAACTAATCGCACGTTACTTTAAGTTGAACACACAAATACAGAAGAAGGCAGAAATCGAAAACAAAGTTGTTTAAACTCCCTTAAGATGTGAAACGTAAAAATCAATTGTTATTTAAGTCCAAGCGTTTTACAGACTAAACTCTATTTTTATTGTTACTAGAGGTCGTCCAGTAGTCGGAAACTCTACCAAAATATGTAATGTACATTGTACAAATAGACAAATAGACTCCTCTATTTTCACTCCAGGCGGTAAATAAAAACACGTGATTGGGGTTTCTTTCATTGTTTTGATTTTATGTTTATATGTCGTCACCAGCATGGCAACCCATAAGACCCATGGTATTTTTTTTTTATTTTAAATTCATTTTGTGTTTATTTTTGAGCCTACAGTATTTTAAATAATAAAGGGATTCTGCACATCTACAGGCAACTATCTTTCTAAAAGTACTATGCATAGATTTTCCCTGCGATGCACATGAGCCGAGAAAAAAGGTTTTAAAGAAACATGCTTTATGTACCGGTAGATAGGTTTATTATTTGTATCATACAGATCGCCTCATTGAGAAGGTTTTTACACCCTTCCTTGCTCAAACTACCTAAGAGAAGGTTATGTTTTTACATGGTTTGTACACATTCTAAACATTGTTTTCTTTTTCCAGGCGCATACGCCGTTATTAGGATCTGGAGACAATAAACACGTGAGTTTTGTTTGATTTTTGTCATTTTAGTCTATAATTTACCATGATCGCAGAGTAAATATTGAGACAGAAGAAAATAGTGTCGTATTTGTTCTGTGCTAACATAACTGGCGTTAAAATAATCTACATCCACTTGTGTGGCATTAATTCATACGAAAATGTTTACATATACCATTACCAGGACTGAGCATGTCTTTAAGGTGCGGCGAGTTTTGTGGATCGATTGAGGGCGTGGGTTCAAATCCAGCCGATCACCAATGTCAGTTCACAACGCCTATTTGACGGTTCAAGTACCACGTTGAGATGTAGGTTCACTTATGTAGTAGAAGAAATATAGGTTAGTAGCTAGATGAATGCTTTGATACATGCTATTGCGAATAGCAATGCTGCTAGCTCAGCGGGAAAGAAATTCACTCCGGTTGACAAGACCTATTTTTTCCGCTCTTAGAGTCTCCCTCCAACTCTGGTTCCTTTACGAAATCTAATGGGGTTAATGTCGGGTGGATCTTTAACTCCTAGTCGCTAAGTGTATTATTTAAAGGATAGCGTTGTTGATATTTGTGGTTTCTGCACGTGTTAGCCTAACCAACATTTTCTCTTTATGGAGTCATCTGAAATTCTCTTACAAGGTTGCCTACGCAAGTTCTGAGGATTCTCCTTTACTGCCTTCTTCCTATCCTAGTCAGATTTTATCCTTGAGCTATAAATCGCACAGGAAACCAGCAAAATGGACTCTAACTTCTCTTGGTGTATAAATTTTCATCCGTAAGACACGTTTACATCCATGTGTTTACAATCGAATTGATACAAATTGATTACGTACTCGTACCTCTTATTGAGTCAATATGTCTACAGTTTACGCACTTAACTTATATCACGACTCCGTAATATGGTAGTCACTAGTCAGTCAGTCAGCATAGTCTGTTACTGCAGAATATGCAGAATATTTCCATAACCGACCAGTTCATCGTGTATGTGACTGACTCATAACAATGACTCAGTATGTCAGCGGATTGTTCTTTATCATCGATTTGTTTGCACAATTGTCAATTTAACCTTAGTGAGAAAGCTATTGCTTGTTAAAGCGGTCAATTCAACTGCTCCAATGACGCTCTGTATGGACGTTGCATTTTACATTTGAAAAGGAAGTATCTAAAGAAAAGCTTTAATCCGTAGAATTGAAAAGTCAGCTGTTTGCTAATTCTTAGCCTTTAGAAAAATCCATATAACAAAACCTTAACTCCTTACTACCTTTCCAATTCTACGATGAAATTAATTTGTAACACAACTGTCGAAGAAAAATTTGGGTCACTTGTTATTTGGAGAAAGAGCAGATATTAATTTTAATCTAATGTTCAAGGTTGGTTTTACACTGACATAACGACAGTGCTTTGTTGGAGGGCGTGTAGAGTATTTTTACATAAGCCATGTTTCTCGGGAACCTCTGAAATAAAGTAAGAGGCTTACCTATTGTTTAGCGGATTTTGAGAGTTGCTGCTTTAACGCTATTATGCGTTTTCAAACTGGGTTTATTTGTATAACTAGTGTTCAAAGTGAGGCTCTCTTTATTATTTAGTTTGTTCTGCTAAGTACACGTTTTGTTTATATTTTTGTTCGGTTGTTTATCTTGATGCAAGTAAGCTCAAGGGTTTTAGGGCATGATTTACCCTTTTTGTAACTTACTTGCGATAGTTTGATTAAGAATAGAGAAGATTATGTAACCAGAGATGACTGGGCGGTGTAAGCCAGCTGATATAGTCCACTGATCCCAATGAATGAGTGGCCTTGGCCTAGACTGATTAGTATTTATCACCAGCCAACAGTCAACTTGAGCATAGCCGGACTCAGTTTTACCATAGATAAAGCATAGGTTACTCCCAGTAGGTTTCCTATCCTTGTGGATCAGCTGAAGACAATTTTATCTTTAGTTCTGTCCAGTGGACACACTGGAGTCGTGTTTTGTTTACAATACCCAATACCCTTACTTGAAATGGCGGCTATACGAAGGTAGGTATTTAAATTTGTTTCTTGTTATTTCAGTTATTTAAAACGTCGTTAAACCAAATTAAAATGATCTCATGATAAAGACTAACTCGTCCACTAGTTATATAGCCAAACATTTAAGCCCAAATCATGAAATTAACCATAAATTAATTGAAACAAAATTTCGTCGACACTAGTGATCAGTGACACCGGACATGAACTATACACGAAAAACTAGCTTCAAAATTTACAATGGGATGTGAAGTATGACTTGTATTGGCTAGTCTATTGTTTTATTTAACAAACATAAAATTACCCTACGAGTACATATAATTTTTAAATATCGGTAATTCGTTCAAAATTGTAAATGCTCGAAATAGCTAATGCTCAATATCTTTACTTTGTCGCTTTACAGATTTTCAATCTTAAAACTGAATATGTTTGGTTATTGACCAAACATGCGAGGGTGGTCAGTATATCAGAATAGTATCGAAAATGTGATAAAAATAGTTGTACATTTGCAAATGTAGAAAAAACCCCCAATCTTGGGATCTACAGCGTGCACAGTTAGTATGATAATACATACTCTCCACTGCTCTCCCCCACGCGGCAGAGCAGTGATGTTTCAGTTTCAAGGCCAGCGGCAGTACAGCTACAGCAGTGTTGTAGTATTGTGATGACGTAGATCAGTCGGCCAAGGCCAGTCATTCATTGAGCGCCATAGTAGTAGATAGTAGACAAACTAGATAAGGCTAGTACTCACTAGGACACCCGGTCGCTTATCAACCGGCGACCTGGTTGACAAGCGACTAAGTTGATGATTGAACGTTTTATTGCCGGGGGGTACACACTAGGATACCTAGCACTTTCAACCGAGCAGGAAATAAAAATTTGGTGGGGATGGACTGTGTTTGATTCTGGAATCTGGTTCGAGCTCTAGTTGCACTGACCTGTTGCGTGTTGTGACAACATGCCCACATACGAAGAAGAGATTGCTGCCGCAGTTATAATTCTAATTAATTGCAGTAACCATAGAAGAAGGAAGACATTGTTCAAAAGATTTTGGGCTAAAGGGTATTGGACCAATCGCAGTCGTTGATGTATCCGGATTGTTGGTTATGCCCGCCACGTCTTGATCAACATTGACTTCACTATGTTCAGTCATGGTACACACATTCATCCAAACGAACACAAACACTTGAGCAGTCTACAATAAACTCAAACAATCGAAAAACCCCTCTAGCTTGAAAGAGACCACGTTTAGCACTAGCACTGTTTAGTTTTGACAGTTGACACAAACAATGTACTGCGCATGCGCTAGCCGTCTTTAGTTGATCAACTTGGTCGCTGAAGCGTACGTACACACTCTAGTTTTTTGAGAAATCTGATTGCCCGGCGATAAAATGGTTGATCGGAAACCCCCAGGTTTTCGATACATGTCCGAAAACCAAAAAGTTGCCTGGCAACCTACAAATCGCCGTCAACCAAATTGACAGACACGTACACACACGGCGATATTTGTGCAATTTGGTCGCTCGTCAACCAGATCGCCGGTTGATAAGCGACCGGGTGTCCTAGTGAGTACTAGCCTTAAACAGGCCTTAGGCGATAATTTAAAACGATGATTTACCTCTTACGGAAAACTGTTTCATGAAGTTACTTCTCGCCATAAAGATATGAAACATTCCTCTAAGTAAAAGCAAAAAACTTATCATTCTGCCCTGGTATCACAGAAAGGTTTGTTGTGCCAACGTCCAATTACCTAATTGTTAATTCATTTTATTTTAAAATTCATCATATTATTATTGAATCATTAATTTACCAAGTCTTAACAAGGCTTATCTCCAATCAGCATGCATCAGGTCAGAGCGTTGTAATCAAAGCTGTCATTTAATCACACGACCTAATCACCTTGCTAAATCAATATTGGGTCCTCTACATTGTAATCAGATTGTAAATGGTTACAAAGAACACTTAATAATGCAAAACATAACCATACAAGTCAAAAATATCTTGAAGGAGCTCAAATGTTTTGTGTTGGGCTGTTACAGAACTATACTCCGTTCAAACAGCCGTGGCACCTGACGGATTAGGAGACCCCATGGAAACCTTTGGGGCCTCCTAATCCCTCAGGTGCCACGGCTGTTTGAACTCACTATAGTACCTATAGAAATAACCCTTTTTTCCTCAGATTGTTAGGTAAATTATTGGAAATGCATCGAGAACATTACATTTATACAGCTTGACTACATAAAGTTCGGGGTATAATATGTTGCTGTCGTGTTTCACATAATGTTAGTGTTATCCCTCTAAATAATATTTATCGTCTTCCTTATCGTTGGACTGGACAGTAAGAGCCTTCGATTTGACGAAAAGTAACAACTTTTAATTTTATTTTCTTTTATATAAATAAATCTATTCCTATCAATTTCAAATTGAACAGCCTTGACACCCTTAACGTTCTATTTCAGATTAAAATTACTTGCTTATGCCAGAAGGTGTCAAACTTTCACGCTACAGTATACATGTATCGGGTAGACTTCCGTATCTGTTGGCACAAACAACCGAATGAAAATATCGATTGATATATCGATTATTCGAAATATCGTGTTGTTAGTTAGGTAAGGTTATCCTAACCTAACTAACCAAACGACATATCGAATGAAACAATCGAATAACCGATATTTTCATTCGGTTGTTTGTGCCAACAGATACGGAAGTCTACCCGAGTCTACCCCATGTATCAGGCCTCGTCTTCAGCTGTTGACACTGTGACGTCACTCTCCCGTGTTTCTCAGTTGACCTACGAATGTCGTCCGGCTTCGAAAGTTCCACGCGTGCGTACGAGGAAATGCGTAAATACCGGCAAATGCGCGTAATGTTAAACCCTGTTTGTAGTGTTTTAAATACTCGACAAAAATAGGTCGATGTGGTTTATTGTACAGTACTGTGTATAAATGCTGCTGAAGATAAGGTATAAAAGGGTTGAAGCTTGTACAGCATGAAATATTGTACGT